ACACAGCCCCCCCGCCCCCCTACACTTTCCCTTTGGAAGGACCCGTGTCAGAGGTGGGAGATGCCCATGTCCGCGTTGCTAATGGCCGAGCAAAGGCAAAGGAACTCTGCAGCTTGCATTGGTGCATGGATGTTAAGAACTCTTTTCCCTCCTCGGCTCCTGTTACCGTCATGCCGAGTTCTTGCCTCGTATGAAGTTCTTATCGTCTCTAGTGCGTTCTGCCTTTTTTTTTTTTTAAAGAAATGATCTGATTTCACAGCCTTCATTGCTAATTTCATTCTGTTTTTTTAAAGCCTCACCAAAAGCTCCATACTTATTAGGACGAGACCAAAACCACCCAGGAAGCAGGAGAGGGGGTCTCGGGAGGCCATTTGAGCCCAGACAGTACCTGGGAAGAGTCACGTGTGCTCTTGTTTCACACTTTTCTTAAAGTCTTTGTGGCCGTGGCCGTGTCCGCGTGTGCAGTTGGCCACTAACAGTGTAGGGATCAGGTTCTGAAGAGGTTGTTGGGTGGAGGCTATCTGGTCACAGAGAGCCACCGAGGGTATTTTTTTTTTTTTTTTGCAGGGAGCTGAGCTCTGCCCTCAACGTGTTTTAAAAGCATTTCTCTCTTCCTTTAATAAGCATGGAGGGTTTCTTTTCTCCTCCTCTTTATTTCCGCTGAAGTGCATGTCGTAACAGTAAGCTCTGAAGGCCTGCCTTCTTAGCCGAGAGGAGATCCCAGTCTATGTAACCGCTGTCGAATGCAGCCGCTTCCATCCGTTCCGTGTGCACGGCAGCTCGGCGCCTGGTCCACGTGCCGCCTGCGCTTTTGCTTGCTCTGTGGTAGTGGAAGAGACACCATTCGAGGTCCTCGCTCCCAGGTCGTTGGGGTTTCAGCGTCTTCTGCTAACTGCGAAGTAGCATGAGACTCTGACGTCCGATGGCTGTTGCTTTTAGAAGAATGTAGGAGCTGACTTTGGTCTGAAACTTGGACTGACCTGGCTCCATGGAGGGGCCGCTGCAGAGTTCCGAGCATTGTTACATAGCCGCCCAGTCACCCGCTGCCCCGGGAGGGCGCCCCTGGAGGTGATGCGTGATAAGTGGGTATTCCGTATTCCTGCCTAATCCACACGGGCCACCGGAACTTAACCAGAGCGAAGCAAAATTCCAGATCATAAAAAGAAAATGATCACGAACCTTGATTGGTTGCCTGCATTGCACACGGCATCACGTGTTAATACCTGCTCACACTGCTTTCAATGAACCTAACCTTGATTGCTTCTAACCTCCACTAAACAGTTGTGAACGCTGCTGTAGTGTAGCCTGTGGCGCTTATGGTCAGAGGCCGCCATTTGACATGGCCAGCCCACCCGACGCGGTCGCCTCGTCTCCCCGAGCCTTCTTAAGGTCTGGTAAGTGTGGAGACCCCTCCCCACCGAGGGGGTTCGTTTTACTTACCTTTGTTTCTGAAGTTTGCGGTCCCCAGAGGATAGCGTTTGGATTGTGGGCCCCCTGGCGGGCCCGGGCCTGCACCCCGTGGTCCTGTGCCCGTTGGCGCGGCTGCTGTGGGCACCGTAGGTTGAATGTGGCCCGGCCTGGGGTGGTCGCGCGGCGTGAGAAGTGACGGTGGAGCCGCAGTTGTCAAACGGGCACATGAAAAGCTTCGTAAATGGTTTTGGGCGTCTTGCGTCATGGAAGTAACCTTGCAGACTTGGGAATTTTTGGTCAGCCTCCCGATTATATTCTCGTTGGCACCTCGCTGTGCTGTAGGTGTTTGTACACATTTTCACAGCGGGAAGGGGAGCTCACTTGGTGAAGAGGTGAAGCAGCTCGCCCAGGTCCCGAGACTTAGGGTTCAAAGCCACGCGGTGCACTTGGTAGCCGGGCTGGGGGAGATGTGCGCACAGGGGCTCGTAGGCGGCCGTATTGGTAAGACCCCTTGCCAGCTGGACGGAGGCTGTGGAGCTGCTCCTCCCGGGGCCTGGGTGTTGAAACAGGTTGGAGGAGGTCCATGCATCCAGGAAGGACCAGCTATGGGTTCCCGTTTGGAACCCGGGCCTTCGGATGCGGCCAGTTAAGTGGCCCTGGTGTGGGAGTGGAGGCTGGAGTCCTTAGGCTTTTCCTGTAGGCAGGCGCCACCTTGGCCACTCGGGAGAAGCTGTGGCAAGAGGCTGCTTTGTCCCTGAGGTGCCTTAAGCAGTGTCCAAGCCTCACCCGCTGGTGTGGCTCGAGTCGAGCGTCAACCTATGAACCAGGAGGTCACAGTTCGGTTCCCCGTTGGGGCACAGGCCCGGGTTTCGGGCTTGATCCCCAGAGTGGGGTGTGCAGGAGGCAGATGACTCATGATTCTCATCATTGATGTTTCTATCTCTCTCCCTCTCCCTTCCTCTCCGAAATAAACTATATATAAAAAGAATGTCTAATCCTCAGGGCCCGTTAACAGGAGAAAGTGAGATGAGCCAGCCAAAAGGTGATAGTGAAAACCTTCTGTTTTCTCCATAACCGTTTATTTCCATTTATATTCCAAATCCTGTTTTGGCACGATGGAGGAGGAAAGCCTTGGAAAAAAATAAGAAATAGCTCAGGAAAGACTCAGTCCAGGGAGATAAAAAAGCTTCTACATTAAGGAGTGAAAACAAGTCTTGTCTTCAGTGGTCATCAGCTAAATGGCAACAGCATACACAACATTGCCAATGTTCAACTTCTGATTTAGTCCCCGAGCTGAGAGACCAAGGGTATATATATCTGTCTTTGGGCTGTGTTTTCTTTCGTTTAAGCACCAGGCCGTTCCCCACTTTGGCAGGCCCGGTAGGAGCCGGGAGTTTGCAGGGGCTGGCAGTTATGGGGAAATAGAATGCTAACGGTGAGATAAGCTTTCCTGCGCCGGCAGTCCTGCACATTTCAACACCTCCGAGCGGCTTTGACATTGCACAGGGTTTGAAGGCACGCACAGGAGGCGTTCCCAGTACTGCGTCCTGACACTGAAATAGAATGCGGCCAGAAGCAAAATAGAAAAAGACCCACGTCACTGCCGTTGGCCATTTTACAGACGATTGCTTATACTTGACTTGCAATGTGTATACTTTTTGGAGGTGCCTCTACCCAAAGCGTAGTGATGACTCTGAAGAAGTATTGTAAACTTTCCTCTGTTAAAATGCGGATACACAGAGGGGTTTGCACGTACAGGTTATGGGCTCGTGTGGAAGTTCCGTGTTTCTGTTGGAAATGATTGTTAGTTCCTTGGAGGTCGTCATTGTAGGCGCGTGTTTTTTGGAGTCATTTATCGGTCATTTCAGAGCTCGGGTCCACAGCTGAGCTTCTCCTGGCCCAGATGAAAGCCCGTCTCTTGCTTTTGGAAAATCCCTTTCCAACGCACCTAGGTCGTTTTATGTATTTTAATCCTCTTTATCCCTCCTGGCATGGTCTGCGTTTTGTCCGTTTCTGCTCTTTCTTGAATGTAGTGTGTGTCCTGCATTTCCGTGTGGTGCTTGTGCTGTGCTTGGACTGCTAATGTGTCAGGCTGCGCTGTGGCCGAGTGTGACTCCTCTTGTTCAGCCGCTAAACCCAAAGGAAGATCTGAA